CTCCCCCACCGCCCCGGAGTCAGATCCCGGGGTCCTGGGGGACGCTCACAGCTCTCCTGGGGCAGACGCACAAGCCGACGCCCTCCGCGTGCAGCCCACACTGAGCTGCCCTACACCTGGCTCAGAGCGGGCGTCACACTGACCAGAGACCCGCTGAGGCCCAGAGGAGCCCAGCAGCAGAGCGGCCCCACCATGCAGGGAGCTGCGACTCCACGTGGCTGACGCCCTCCTGCGAGCCCTGGGGTCTCCACCACTGCGTGTTCACATCCGGGTGGTTCTGTTCCCCCCACTGTATGCAAGGCCTTCCATTTGATTCTAGGCACGAGAACGTGGCACTTGTGACACAGTTCTGCAGGTCTCTAATCACTTGCTTTTTTGGGGGGGTACTGGAAATCAAGCTCAGGACCCTGCACTTGTGAGGCAGGCTGCGGAACCACTGAGCTAAATCCCCAGCCCTGGATAATTCTTGATGAACTCAAAAGCAACTGTCTTGAGGGCCGGGGATTTAGCTCAGTGGCACTGCTCCTGCCTCGCAAGTGCAAGGTCCTGAGTTCTATCCCTGCTACCAGAAAAAAAGAATTATTTTGGCAGGCCTAACCTGACCAGGTGAAAATATATGTAGTGCCAGGGATTGAATCCAGGGCATTGTGTATACTAGGCAAGCACTCTTAACACTGAGCTGGATCCCCAGGCCGGTGGAACCTTCATAAGGAGAATCTAGACCTCCCTGCGGTGCAGAGACTGTTGTCACTGGCTAATGAGTCTGCCCGGTGAGAAGGACCTCATGAAACCTCTACGAGCTGGGCCAGACGTCCTCCGGCAAGGAGCAAGTCCTATGGCTCCAAGGAAATGCATTTAGCCTCTTACAGGGTGAGTGGAGAGATAGTATCTTCCCCAGTTATGTGTCTCTGAAAAGCCAGGTGAGGAATGCAGCCCAAACAATACCTTGACTGCAGCCTGGTGAGCAGAACATCCACCTAAGGTGTATCTGGAGTCTGCACAGGTAAGAGCATGAGATAACAAGTATTTGCCGTAGGGCTGGGAGCGTAGCTCAGTGAGAAGTGTGCTCAGCACATCGAGGTCCGGGGTTCAATTCCCACTATCAAAAAAAGGAAAAAAAGGCATATACTGTTTTAAGCCACTATATTTATTGTAACTTCTTTGGAAGCAATACATAACGAGTATACACATTTTTCTAAGGAGGTCCCCACCCCTGCCATGGGGAGGGAGGGCCAGGCAGTCTACTGTGTCTGGCTTTACCCATTCAACATTATGTTAGTGAGTTTCACCATGATGCTGCATCTACTTCTGATTCGTTCCTTATGTCCTGGAGCGTATTCCAATGGTGTAAATTTTCCATGATTTATCCAGGACGGGGGGGCTCAGCCTTTGGGCTGTTGTATCTAACCACCCAGCTGGCTATCTACCTACCTATCTAGGTTTCAGATAGGGTCAAACTATACAGCCCAGACTGGCCTTTAATTCCCACCCCTCAGGCCTCTGAAATGCTAGGGTTACAGACATGTACCTCTGTACTTTGCATCCCATAATAATGACCAAAGCCTTGGCAACCACAAGAGCTGCCGATGTAACCACTATAAGCTACCTTGAGTCCACGCCTTCCCTGTCATGTTTTCTGAACTTCAACCTAACACTGTAATTAGTGGGTTCCATCTAAGTTGGAAATAGATTCAACTCTCCTGCTTTACACATCTCAGAAGGTTCCTCCGGCCTCAGGATACAATGGCAGAACACGCCATTCCCGACCATAATCCCTCTCTTCAGTCTTATTACATCATTCAGTCCCTCTCCTCTGCCTCAGCCAATCCCTTTCCACGGTTCAAGAAGTACACTGAGGTCTGAGCTGAATGTGGCGCCCACATTTTTCATTCTAGCACTCAGGGGCTGAGGCAGGAGGATCGAGAGTTTGAGGCCAGCCTACACTACACTGGGAGACTTGTCTCAAAGACAAAAAAATAAATAAATAAAAGGAATACACTAAGATCGCAAATGCTCTGAATTATCCTCAGCTGAAACGTTCCTGTCTACTCTACACCATCTCGCCTGAGCTCACAGATATGACTAGTTAAATGGTCACGCTTTCGTTCTCAGCTTAAATCCATCACAATACGCTCTCGTCCCTGTTATTGATGCATTCCTTTTCCTAGGGAGGTGAGGACTATCAGGGATTGAACCCACAGCTTCAGGCACGCCAAGCAAGCAACCACCGAGCTATATTCCACATCCTTTGTTAAATTTTATTTGGAACACAGTCTTGCTGACTTGCCCAAGCTGGTTTCATACTTGCAATCCTCAGGCCTCAGTTTATGGGACACAGGGGATCACAGGTACTGCATCCTCCCCCACTTTATTCATGCAGTCCTAAATTCATATAGCAAACTTGCCGGTATTTCAAAGCTGGTTTATCAGACAGATTACATCCCACAGTGGAAGGACTATGTCTGCTTCTTGTTTCGTTTTGTATCTGCAATGGGACTGAACACAAGGCTTTCCACCTGCTGGGCAAGCTCCGGAGAGCTACATCCCTAGCTCTACTGTTTATTTAAATAAATAATCACTGCTCCAGTGACCCTACAAAGAACACCACCAGTAAGCCAGTGAATTAAAGGAATCAGTGATTTGTCTGTGGATTGTCAGGAAATAAACTTTCCCTATAAAAATGTTGCAAGTATGGCACAGCAAAATGCAAAGCATGCAGGAACTACAAAGCAAAAATTAAATAAGACTCAGAAAATATCTGCCCAAGTACAACAAACTCCAAAATAGTCTTTCTGGAAATATATTTGAGTACTGTTACTCACCATGGATATGGTCAGGATATTGATTTTCCTTTTCAAAACAAATGACTTGTAGTTAGAACTAAAACCCTTTCCTTATTTTTCTCTTGATGAATTTCTAAACAAGGTTTAAAAAAATGTTGATTCAGAAACTGCCATATGGGTATAGCACCTGAGGAAGGGAAAAAATTTAATATACAGCAAAATTAAACACACATTTCCCCTCTGACCTAGAACACACACCCTGAAAATCCTCCTCTGAAAATGCACCTCCACAACTGCAAAGAACCATATAGGAAAGTTTATTCACTGCACATTACTCATGGAAGCTCAAAAAACTGGGTAGAATGAGTGCTGGGTGCTGGGGACAAGATATTCCTCCTTCTCAACTATCAACCTACAAGTTACTTTCTTATGCAAAGGAAGTTGGTTTTTTTAAATAAGAGTACAGGGCGGGGATTTAGTTCAGTGGTTCAACCGCCTACCTTGCAAGCACGAGGTCTGGAGTTCAATGCCTGGTACCAAAACAAAACAAAAACAAGAGTACAAATCAAACAGTGGTACATCCTTGTAAATCCAGCTACTCACAAGACTGAAGCAGGAGGATAACAAGTTCAAGAACAACCTGGACAACTTAGTGAGACCCTGTGTGTGTGGGGGGGTGTAACTCAGAGGTAGAGTTTGCTTAGCACATGAAAAGGCCAAAGGTTCCATCCCCAGGACCACCAAAAAGGAAAAGGGAGAGGGGAAGATGAGGGAGGAGAGGGGAAGAAGGAAAAAGAAATAAAATAGAGTGCTGTGATAATTACTGCTTTGAGCAACTGTCAAAATTAGCATGACTGCACGCAGGGTCCCGGCACTTGGAAGGCTGAGGCAGGAGGATCACAGTGAGTTGGAAGCCAGCCTGGGTCTCACAGTAAGGCAAGCCAGAACTTCGTATCAAGAGCCTCTCTCAAACAAACAAAAAATAGCATGACTAAACAAAAGGCCATATAAACAAATGCCTTCCTAGTAAGATACAATTAGAACCACAAATTACCTACAAATTACTTTGCAAATATTTTTTTTGAAGTCTACTGACTGGGAACTGATGATAAAAGACTGGCATATAGATTAAAAGGCCATGGCCTTATTTACTGTACATAACTGTCCAGGCCCACAATCCATTTTGGTGCAACATGGAGAATTGTGTTTTTAAGAGTTTACTTTTGATGTTAACTTTAAAAAAATTTTTTTGAGACAGGGTCTCGCTATATATTTCAGGCTGGCCTTGAACTATGTAGCCCAGGGTCAGTCTCCAACTCAATGTGATGATCCTGTGTCAGTTTCCTAAGTGCTGGGATCACAGGCATGCACCACCACCCCTGGCTCCGCCCCGCCCCCCCCCAGGTACGAGGAATTGAATTCGGGACATTGTGCTTGCCAGGCAGGAGTGGTGCCATTGAGCTACATCCCCGGCCCCAGCTGGCTTATTTTTTACTTCTTGACTGATACATTTCGCTTTTAGGAAGTGTCCTCATCTTTATTGCTAAGTAATTAAGGGTCAAGTATTTCTACTCTTTATTTTCACTGTATGAAATAACAAATAATTCACAGTACAGTACATTTATTTGGGACAAGAGTATCTGTTACTAAAAAGTGAATCTATCACAATGGATGTTAGATGTTTAAATTACCAGTACATTTAAGATTTTTCAAAAGAGAAATATGAGAAAAAGTATACATTTAATTAATTATCAATCCTGCTAATGATTAAATTTATGATTTCTGTACTGGGATGGTAAAGCCTCCATCCTTTCTTCCCGAGACCTGTTTGTAAATTCTGTGGGAATTGTACTAGCAGTGGAAATGTATATGGAGAAAAGAGCTTAGTCTTTAGTCTTCTTTAGTCAAGGCTTTCAGGTTTACAGCACGTGGAAGGCTGAGGCAGTGAGTTCTAGGCCAGCCTGGACTACATGCCAAGACCCTGTATCAAAAATACAAAAGCTTGTGGTCTACAAATGTTTATATTCTCATACAGAAAGATGCACACCATACATACCTGTAAGTCTCCTTTTTTACCTGAAAGTAATGGTCAAAACAAAACACAACCTGGGACAAGGATTTAGCTCAGTGGTTCCACCGCCTACCTCGCAAGCACAAGGTCCCGGATTCGATCCCCGGTATCCCCCCCAAAAAAATAAAACACAACCTAACAAGACAATTCATTTTCTCAGATGAAGCATACATTGAGGAAAAAAAAAAAAAAAAAAGAAAGTTTCCAACAACCTAAAACTAAGTGCTCCCCAAAACGCGCTGCAATCGCCAGGTCTGTGCTCCAACAGCGGAACTGGATTCTTTCTGAAAATGAAAATCCACAAAGATTGCTTTTACTTTGTTTTGAGACGAGGGTTGGGCCACCATGCCCGGCCTTTGGCAGCTTGAGAGAGGAA